TAGTTTTCTAGTGAAAAACTCCGTAAAGCTAACAGAAAGAGACTTCTGTTTCTCTGCAAAGACTGATGAAAGACTGTAGCAAGAATTAAGACTGTTTTTAACCACCAAAGTCCTAAAGTTATTTGTCTCTATGTTGTCATGTGTACAGAGAAATAGTTAAAATGTAGAAGATAAGGGGGTTTTCTGAAAGTTTATTCTAGTATTCTTGTTCTTGTAGTTTGTTAATAAACTGTCTTTATTCCTCTTAAGTTTTAAGCCTGTTTTGCTCTTGTTCTAATCCATATCTCACAACAAGAAATAAGTAGTTTTTTTGTTACTGGTTTAAAACCACGACACCTTCTGAACAAATGCAAGAAGTCCATGAGAATTAACATTCCCATCTGGGACAATCTTTAGGATAGAGAGGTGTGACAATTCTGGTACACCTTCCACTGAGGCTCTGAGCCTCCAGCTCAGCGAGCCACCAAAAGGAGTGGGCTGGGGGCTCAATTCCCAGGGCTCACACAAATCCTACTCCTGTTGCTTCATCACTGGGTTATGTTTTAGACCCTGTGAAAAGGGAACTTCTTACCTTTGATCCACCCCCTGGAGACTTGCTTAGTTTAAGAGCTGTTCTCTGTGCCTTTGGATACCCTGTCTTAACCCTAGGAAAGCAATCCCGGTGTCTGCCAGAGCTCTGCTTGAGCAGACTCATTAAGGGAGGCCAAACAAAACTTCCCATGACCCAGGACATTTCAGAGAAAGCACCAGGATCACAGGGCCAAACTAGTTTTTCTTGGCTATTGGAATTATTTTGGCTGAAACAAATATTTTGGCTTCCTTCCTTATCAGTTTGCCAATGAAAACACAGCTCCAAGGTTTTCAGACTCTAGGATTGTGACAATTCTGAAAAATGACAAAGTGAAACATATACCAGCTAATAAAGAGCTATTCATGCTCTAAATATCCTCTTGTGCTGCTCTGTACATAGTGTAGCTAGGCTTCTGGAAATGTTGAGCCTGTTTTCCCTACCACTGATCTTGGTGATTTGTTCCTGCAGCATGTCACACAGATGCTTTCCTTACAAGCAACTTCTCTGATTTCTAAGCAGTTTATTATTCCTCTCCCACAAAAACACAATACCATCCTATTTTTTCTTACTATTTGAATTAAACAGACTTTGGGGAACATAACTTATAGAACAGGCTACCAAACATCTGTTCACACTGGAGATGGCAACCCAGTGTCATTAGGGATCACCAAAGATAACAACCTTATTTTTTTATCCTTCTCGTTTAATATTGGAATGCTGCTATTGCAATTTAATACTGCAATATTCCCTTCTCAAGGAATCCACTCACATGATTACTCTCCACAGACTGCAACCCCAGAATTGTGGGGCTGCTTGCAGCAACTCTCTCCTTCCAAATGCCCATGAGTGCAGCAAGAAGAGGACTCCAAAACTGCCCATCTCCAAACCCTGTTCAAAACCTGGATATGGAACTGCATCTTTCCAACAATGGATTCACCTACAATACCAATTCTGTCTTTGGAACTTAGCCAATGACTCCAACAGTGCTATATGAATTGATAAACCAACTCACACTATCTGGCGAAACACTTCTGTAATTAAAGGCAAGAGATGTGGAAAAGAAAAATATATTTGTTCACATTTCTTGTCCTAAGAACCTTAAATTATCAGTATGTGGCTACTACATGAGTAAAATGTGAAAAGTATCTCACTCCTTTAAAAACTAGTGGGGAAAAAAGAGTCAGATACTCAGTTAAAGACGTCCCAATGCTCAAGGGCAGAAGTGAGGTGGGGTGGAGGATATGACTCTTCTGCTATGTTTATCATTCTTGGTATATAACTCACTGCTTTGGTGACAGAGATACCAACTGGCAAAACCATTTTCTTACCCAGAATCTAAACACCACTCTTGTACTTTCCGACTATAGAGACTCCCAATTTTTACCCTGCAGGATGACCAGACATAGAAAAGGAAATTATACACAGTGATGAGTGAAGGTAGGGATTTCTCTGGCTATATAATTCATAAATTTGACAGCTTTTCTATTTTTTCCTTTTCCTCAACCTGGTATCTGAATTTTATACAATACGTAAAGGTCTGCAAAGACTGGGGCTCCTCTCTGAGCAACAGAAGGCTGAGCTGGCAGTTCTGGCAGGTGTAATTCTCAACTACCACTCAAGGTGTTTTATGGAAACCACAGTGCTACTTAGAATTTAATTTCCTCACTTCCAGACCAAAACTACAGCCACAAATTTAAATATAATTCAAAGTCCATGGGAAAAGCAGTAACTGTTACTACAATAAACATTACAAATTCCAGGTGTTAGTTGATTTATATGAGGAAAACACAAGGTGCTTTAGTGATTTGATGCATTATTAATGCAGCAACAGCTACTGGTGTTTCATCAGAAACAGAATTTTACACTGATTTTTGCATCAACTACTTTACTATATGCTTCCCTAATGAAAATTAAGTTAAATTAAAAAGAAGGTGTCTTACTTCTCAAGAAATGAGAAAATATCCAAATATTCATAAGAGACATAATTAATGGAGGCTTCCAGATGGTGCAACTGAACTGGTTCAATTAATGACAAAGAAGCAGCTGGATTCCAGTAAGAGACACTACATATTTCAAAAAAAAGCCAATGCAACTAGAAATGTCACTGTCCTGGGCAGACTGGAATCCCCAATCGCCTGTTCAGTTTATGTTACATATTAAGTTCTACACCTTTAAGATTGGTTCCAAGAGTGAAGTGGAGGGAAGAGGAAATGTGCAGTTTGTTTGAAGAAACTGCACTCACTCCCCTGCATGTTTCTCTGGACTGTGTCTGCAGCACAGACAGACAGTGGGACAGAGCTCTCCTTTGCTTTTAGTTTTTAGCTAGCCGAGGCAGAGCAGTTCCCCAGACTGTATTTTTTCCTTTTTCTTAGAACAGTTCAAACTTGCTCTGGACTGAAAACCCAGACAAACCCCAGGAGCTCATGCCTGTGGACCACCAGGGCCTGGGCCTCAGAACTTTCCAGCGTCAGAGGGACTGATAAGAGACTGAGCAAGCTGAGCTACACCTCATAAAAAGGACTTTTTTGGATTTGCCATCCCTTCAAACACTGAGAGGTTTTATTGTTTAATATTCAATTTCTGTTAAATAAACAGTTTTTTCCACTTTTCCCCAAGGAAATCTTTTTCCCAAACCAGGTGGGGGAGGGGCTGTTTGAATTTGCTTTCTGAACGGAACTGCATTCGGAGGTTTTCTCCCAAATTTGCCCTAACCAGTCACCAATAAAAAAAATTACAGAAAAGCAAAGGGTGGTGCAAGAAGGCCAGACAGGGCTGCCACAAAAAAAAAAAAAAAAACCAAACCAAACCAATAAACCCCCAAACAAACAAACAAAGAAGCTAAAAAAAAAAAAACAAAAAAACTCCCAAATATCCCCAAACAAACAAAAAACCAACCAACCAACCAAAAAAACCTCCAAAATAAAACAAAGAAAAACAACAACAAAAAACCCCACCAAATAATTTAAATCTCAAAGTTAATTTTTTAAATCAATCCAATGCTAAGGTATTTGAGCTAAGAAAAAATTACTTTTATAGTAAGAACTGAAAGTAGATGCATTGAATACTGACATTGGAGCAAAGAACAAATACTTTTCCCACTCAAGGCAGAGGTAAAATGTTGATGTAAAACCTTGTTAATAATTGTCTGTCACTTGATATCACTGCACACTGACTTGCTCTTTAAACGTTTTGTAACACATACCAGTATTTTATCTAACACAGAGATGCAAACTCATTTCTTTCCAGTGAACTGGCTCCTGAAAGTTCAGGGAGCAAAAGAGTTCAGATAAGTACAAAATGTGCCTCACTTCCTCCATCTTGTGGGCACCAATGAATGTTACAATCACGATGAATCTTGACTCAGGAAAACATTTAATCACATTCTAGATATCTTAATATCTAGGGGATATTTTCTTAATGTGCACTTACAAACTTGAATTTTGTTTAAATCCCTCTGTGATAATGAGCTGTCTCTCCAAAGGCTTATTAAAATGAATAGAATATCTTTGGTGTTTGGTTCTATTTTTCAAAATAATCATGGAAATACAGGGTTATAAACAGAATGGAAGAATCACATAAAGAGAGGCATTAACTCACCCACTGGTGATGTCGTCAGCCCTGATGTTCTTGCCCAGCACGTCGCCATCGCTCATGTATCCGGAGGCATCCATGGTGATGCCCTCGAGGTCGATGTCGTCGCCAGCCTTGTCGGTGATGTCCACGTGGCAGACGCTGCTGCCGCGTGTGGCCAGCTGCCGCCGCAGCGGTGCTGAGTACAGGTAGCGCCCGGCACCAGGCTCGGTGCTGATGAAGCGGCTGGCGTTCCCCCGGGGGGGGTACCCGTTCCCCATGGACGGCGCGTCGCCAGCCTGCAGCCGCGGGCTGGACTGGCCCAGTCTCCAGGACAGCGGCGTTGGCCGGCCCGTCAGGCTGAGGATGCTGCGCCCGCTGATCTCAGTGGTGACGTTGGTGTCAAATGTGGTCTCCAATGTGCTTGAAAGGAGAGATGTGATGCCTTAGGACTTTAGCTTTTATATGTTTCAAATCCTGTACTGCTTTAGTGTACAACTCTAAACACCATATAGAGTGTTAGTTAACTGTCTCCACATTTGGTCAGACAAAACAATCGAGGCCTGAAACTCAAGGACAGCCTTCTGCCTCAGGCCCCAAAAGTATAAACAAGGTGAACTGGGGGGAGAGCAAACTGGGGGTATATGACTTCACATACACTGAATCTGTAATTAGAGAACTAACCCCCAGTATGTTAATGGACCAAACTTATAATTGTCTAAAAACTTGTGACCATCGTCCATCTTGTGTGTAGCCTCTGGAAGACTTCTGACTGCCCAAGGGGTACCTGTTTGAAGGCCCTTAATAAATACCCACTTTAGTCTCTTAATCTTGTCTAGCCTCTGTTCTAGGCATCACTCCAAGGCATCAGATGCACTGGATCAAATGTGCCTCTTACATGGAATGCTGTGAGATTTCAGGTGCTTCCAAGGCTCTGAACTCTCAGCAAGTTACTGATTGTATGTAACTTCGTATTCTCTGGTTATAGTAATCAATAACTAACAATTTACTGCTACAACACTTGGGGAGATCCTTTCTTTTCACTTTTCAGGTCTTTCCCCCATGTTCCCAAAGAGACTCTTGCACCCATGCCACCAGGTGCTCTACATAGATGTGAGAAGACTTAAGCAGGAGCTTTTTAATGGATTATCCACAATATCAAAGCGTATCTTTCTCATCTTCAAGCACATACAACAGGAAGGGAATAGGATAATATGCTGACTTAAGAAAAACCTGCTGAAGTACCATTTTTCTGATGTATTTCTTTTTATTGCCCGCATTCATGAAAATTCTAACTCTGGACATATCTTGGCCCAGCAGCAAGACATAAGCTATTTCTACACCATGGAGAGAATTAAATGAAAAAAGTAAGAAGGGCCAAAAAAAAAAAAATTTTTTTTCAAAATATAATTTGCAAATTAACAAGCCAGTAGTGAACTATGACTTACTTTGAAGGTGTTCAAACCCAAATCAGAAAAAGCAATAAATTACTCATATATTCGTGAGTTATGTATATTTTAAAAAATATTGATAATATTTATATATGGAACCCTAAAAATGGGACTACACCATGAGTTTTCAAGCGATGTGTACAGATTGCAAGGCTATACCCTGAATACTCATCACTGAGTTGCAGCTAATTTATTTGCAGCTAATCCATAGCTGCATCTTCTCTTACCCACACAAACTCCTCTTTTGTTTCCCTGCTCAACTAAGTTCCACTTTCTTATTTACTGTGGATATTAGTAAAAATAAACAGCACTGTACCATTCTCAATGTAACGTTACATGTAAGCTGCAAAAACCTTCGTATTCTCTGGTTATAGTAATAAAACCATGAAGGGATGTCACATTAATTGAAATTTCCAAAGAAAAATAGCTTTGGGAATTCATCTTTGCAAGCTCAGCTTCAGTTTCAGATGCAAAGCAAAAAAGTTACCCCCAATAAACCCATTTAGGGCTGGGGTACATAAGGCACCAAGCACTAGGTAGGACCCTAACGTCATAAGCAGCCAAACAGCTTATTCTCCCAAACTTCCTGTTCAACACTGAAAAGATCTAACTCACACAGTGTTTAGATGTAATACTAATCTTGGTTTATTTGCAGCATATTTTAAATATTGCTGAAGATTTCCAAATTCTGTTTTACAAAGAAAAAGCTGTTACATTCAGGGGATGACTAACAATATTAAAAAAATTTGTTTGTCCAAAGTTTGGTCAGGAATTTAAGTTACGCATTTGATAATGTGGGTCAAGCTCAGTTCACCTCTTATTTAAACAAAATATTACATATAGGGGGAGAGAGTAATGAGAAGTTACTCAACAGTAAGAAGAAACATTTTAAACTGTAACTTATATTCAAACATCACCTCACACATTTAACAAGTGATTATTCTTGACCTCTGAGTCAATACAAATCCCATCCCATCAATTCCTCCTCATACCTCTCGATAACCAGCCAACATTGTTCAAATTCTGTGCATTGAAGACAAAAATTACAAGATCAGTATCTCCCATTGTCAGTGTTAATCATTTTTCTAAGGATGCAACCCAGCCAGGTGTAATAGATGTGAAGTAAGAGCAGAGTGGTTTCCATTTTTTTACGAACACCGAGATGTCCTTACCTGTGGGTGACCTGGGTTCCCCGCAAACTGGACATGGTTTCCTCCAGGTTCTGCCGAAGGTCAGCGATGTTTTTCACAGTTCTCAACCGCCGAGTCTCTGGATCCTCTCCTACAGGGAAAATAACCCTTGAGTAAAGACCAGGCAGGGAACAGCACAGAACTGAGCTGCAACCTATGCCTGAATCTGACTCAAATGCACTTTTTTCTGACTTTCTAAGCTGGTTAGGCTTGAGATTTCATTCCCCCTTGGCAGGCACCTGCCATCATCACATCCTGACTGAAATGAGCTCTGCAGCATTACCCTCATTGCACAGGCTGCCTTTGAGATGTTGCATGTCATTTCCCATGTAATTTCCCAATTTAAATTAAAGGTTAACTTTCAACCTCATTAGCATATACACTCCATCAATACCACCCTTTCCATCCAATATATTGACACAATTAACATTAACCTGACACAAGCAATTTCTCCAATGTTGTGTTTTCGCTAGATCTTCTTTGTCCTACAGTAACAGCTTTCCATAAACTAAACAGTGCTGACTGGGTGGGTGTTCTATGATGAGTGATGTTTCAGGTAAAATAAGAAGAAGGTTTTGCATGTCAACATCACGACACAGTTACTATTCCTAAAATGTGCTACATGACATGAAGTTGGGGGATGGCTTAGTTTTCACAGCACTGAGAAATCCTCTTCTTTCAATACTTTGTTCAAAAACACATTCATGTCCTGCTCTTTAAAAGAAGAGTTTATGTACACAAAAAAAAAAGTCTTCTTACTGCCTGAGCATAATTTCATTTTATCAAATTAATAATTTAATTAGTGCTTCAGCATAATTTATTTACGTGCTGTCAGCTGTCATTTCAGAAAAGCTTTGGCTGCTACCTCAGCTGAACATCACAGAGTTAAATCCTCTAAGAGGCTGAAGAGAAGTGAATTTCTAGTAGTGCTGGCATATTCTTTGTAAGCTGAAAGCTGGAACAAAAAACTGTCACAAAGCTTCTGTTGAGCACAGAAGGAAATTATTTCAGTCTAAAAGGTTTACAACTCGTGACTGAAGAAAATACTACAGTAAATGTAAAACTTTTCACATTTTATATCAGCCTTCTCTGTAAAAGTGATGCATTTTTGAGCTGCCAGGATGCTGGGCACCCACACAATTGCTAGTTTAGATGGATATCTATATATTACACACATCAGAAGTGAGAAGAACCAGACAAAAAAAGCTGTTGGAACTTTCTACATTCTCTGCTTTAAATTTAATGTTTCTAAAAGATGCCAGGTTGGTGGCACAGAAAAACCCACTCACTCACTGTTGCCTACAAAGCAGCAGTGCTACAAACTACTGACCAAAGTGCTTAGTGCCCATGAGGGCATTTTTCTTTTAATCAGTCTCTACTCTCTGGGAAATCATCTCCCTGAGTTACAATTCACTTAAGCCAGAGGGTCAAACAATTATGGGCTGGCTGGACTGAAAACATCCACCTAACAAGACCGATTACTTCAGCCAGTGGGTCTCTGGAACAGCAAACATTTTCTATACTCATGGATCTACAAATTTTTGTAGTAAAAAACATCAAATATTTATAAGACTTTAGCTTAACAAATGTCACGGTGCTCTTTTACAGATCATTTCACCGATGTTAAGACAATGGTAGGTAACTTCTTAAGAAAACACACAAGAGACAAACTAAATCAATTTCTTCTGAGATCACTCATGCTTAAATTGATACCAAATTTTTACTTAAATTACATTCCACTGCTTGAATTGTAACTATACTTAAAAGACAGATATTGGGTAGTTGGCCCCTAGAGCTTAATTCTGACTTAGCTCCTCGTGAGAAGGCAGCATTCTTAAACAATTCTGCTTCCATTTTTCCCTACCTATGCTCTCTTTTGTTTCACATGTGCTTTTAAATTAACAGCATCAATAGCTGCTATGCAGGAAGAGAAGATATCTGTGCCTTATTTCTTCTAATACACTTGGGGTGAGGGACTATTTTGTTTAGTTTGCTCTGTTTCCCCCAAGGCCCGTTCATGGATGCTGCTGTCTGGTCTGACTGTGCACAGCTGGGGTTGGCATCTCCCTTGTTTGAGGTTGTCAGCTGTCTTCTGCCTCAGGATCCCAAAACTTACATATTCTTACATAGCTGAGTAATAGTTTTACTTACATAATATCTGTCATTAAATACCAAAGACCTTTTGTGATCTAGAAACACTTCTCAGTTTGCAGGCTGAAATACATCCAGCCCAGCCAATATGATGATTAAGAGGTAATGCTGAAAAAGTTTAAGCAGCTGGACACTGCGTTTCTTACTTGCAACTCTTATATTTAAAAACGAACACAAAAATGTTCTCAAGGATTTTATCCCTTGTGCCTTTTACCTGCTTTTTAAGTACTTCATCCACCTATGTATAAATTGTACACACAGATATGTTCATTTAGGCATTCCTGCAGCCCTCTTCCTCACCAGTGACTCTGCTTCTCACCTTTGCCATCAGCACACAGGTATAAAGGCAGCATTGATAGAATAGGCAATACAGAATAAAGTTAATCTCATTATGAAACTTTTAGCCACATCACTTTTCCAAGGAGGGCATTTGGTTTCAAACCCCACATTAAACTGGGGGACACCAAGACTAAGTAGATGGAAAAAACCTGAGATATCCTACAAATGAGACATCCTGCAATAGCACACAGTATGCAAAGTCATATATATGCTGAAATAGGGACAGGAAGAGTTTAGACTGAGACTTTAAAAACACATTTTAGATCACATTAGTAGAATCTAACAGATTCTAAGAGAATATGGTTGCTGAAAATCCCTTTGTTATATTGATAACTTTAATTTTTTTTGCTAACTAGAACATACTTCTTACAGTAGCAGGAATTCTAGATAAATATACCAGGTACTTTCTAATTTAAACTGCTCATATTTTAGCTACAACCAGCTTCTGCTTCTGTATGCTGGACACAATGGAGTGTAGCTGAATTTTGGTGCCCTATTGCTGCGAAGGCTATTTCTCAAATTGATCAGATTCATGTGAGTGATACTGAGATTCCTCCAACCCAAAACATCAAGGAAACGAACACAGCCTCTTCTGTAAGCTCTGAAATGAAGTTTTTAAAACTAAACAATGCATATTAAATTCTTGGGAATACTTAGGTTCCTTATAGTAGTTAAATCTTAAAAAATTACGCACATCTCCTAGACAAACTTAAAGCAGGCAAAATTCCTGGTGATTTCAAGAGATTTGGGGAGCACACTTGTGCTGAACTTAAGCACCTAGAGTTCAAATTACTGACACCCAGTTTTCATTGCTGCAGAGCTGAAAGAAATATAGTTATTAAGAACTAAAGCATTAGGAATAAAATCAACTTGCTCTAGCCCATTCTTATTTAACCAGATCACAGCCAGTAACGGGTCATGCTGCAAAACATACCTGAGAGGTCCTCGACAGCAGGCTGGGCAGTTTTGACATAAAGAGCAGAATCCATGCTGAACCCTCCTGTGCTGGCCTCGGCTGTTACGTTCCCTTCATTGTCTGTCTGAGATCTGGAAAGCAAAACAAAACAGGAATGTGCAGCCACTCTCCATCCAAAGTATCTCAAGTATAACAACAAGATGAGTGCACCTGCCCTCAGCCACTCTGTCCCACTCTCCAGAACAGACCAGCAGACTGATTTTACATAATTCATTAGTCCCATGTTGAATTATGTCCTGGAAATGGAAACAAGCACTCAGCTGTAAAAAATAAAAAATTCATAGTCAAAGATAGGCTTCACAGCTCATCAGATGGGGTCTTAAAACACTTGGATTTCCAGATGTGTTTTAATTATCAATAACATCAGTTGTGGCTAATCTGATCCTCTCCTAAAAAGTTTGTATTGCATGAAGATAAAGCAGGAAGCATCTGATGGCATGTTACACTCATGCTAGGTTCCCTTCAACATCACTTCCATTTTAAAAGAAATGATTGGGCAAAACCAACTTCAAACTCCAATTTATTGTCTGATATTATGGCTGCTAGATAATGAAAGGTGATGTAAGGATCTATTGTTAAATTTGAGTAAGATACTGTGACTCATTTAACTTTACTAATTGTGCTACGTTTTTGCTCATAGAACCAAACCAACAGGCAGCTGGAAGTTCTCCTGCCCCAAGGGTAAGTACTGTAAAAAAGTGAAGACAGAGTGGGGAATTACTACTGCAATACTCTTAATGTCACCTGACTCTTGTAGCAGGATGCTTTGCCTGGAGTGGGGGTAAAACAACTGGAACAATGTCCAATTTACAGAGCTGTCTGTGGCAGAAGGAGAAGGGGCCTCTTGCTGCTTTTGGTGTTGAATAATGCTGAAACCAGCCTGACTCATCAACCCTGAAGTTCAACCTCCTGACAGGGAGGTGAAGATGTGGCAGACTTGGTAAAGTACCTGATAAAGGAACCAACAATGATACCACTGGTAACTAGAGATGCTGGGCTGACACAGCTGGCCAAGACACATGACTGACCATCACTTCATACTATAAAAGCCCAATCCCACTCTTTAATGGCAAGGCCTTCTAACACATCCCTCCTTGGAGTTCGTGCAGAATCCTCCCTTGAGTGGGGACATCCTGGTGAGTAGGCAAAAGAGATGTGTCTGCAGTCGTTGGTATGGGTGAATAACATCAATCTCTACTGAATAATTGCTTTTAATATAACTCTAACATAATTCTTTTGATATTGTTTCAAAAATAATGAATTATCTATACTAGTAATCACAGCTATCCTTACTGTGTAGTAAATAATTCTGATTGAAAACTATTAGTCTAATCATTGTCAAAATAAATCACTTATTTTCATATAAATATATCTGGTTTGCCATCCTTAATCCTATCGGACAGTTGAATTATATGAAGTTCAACTACACCTATATAATCATATATAGACATGAACAAAGTTGACAAAGTCTGGTACTAAGCCTGGATCCAGCTTCATCAAGAACTCCTCTCTGAGGAGGAGTTTAGAAAGCAAGGAGGTCCTTTCTGCATCTCCTAACTCAATGGCAGGGCTTCTCTAATAAACTTTGCTGAAGCTCCCTTTCTGCCGGGGACAACCCTATACAAAATGCAGGACAATTTCTTAAGTCTTTTACTTAAAAAAAACCCCATCAAACCCAAACAAAAAGTCTACAGGCAGCTGAAAAATACAAATTAAAGTAACCTTAACTGATGTCAGAAAACACCTGAGCCTTCTACTGCAATGCATTAACTAGTGCATTTTGTAGACTGAAAAAATGTCTGGATAGCAAATACAGCAAATATAAAAATGTGTTATGTTTGCCTTGCAAACCAGTATGTTCTGATTTTTCTCTTTTCTTTTAAAGCTAACATGATTATAGAGTTTGGCCTTTTTTTCTCCAGCGCTGAAAAGTAAACATTATTTTTCAATTTTCCAGCTGCCAATAGGCAGTTTCATTCCTGATTTTGGTAAAAGGTCAAATAAATACTGTGTGGAGTTTATCAGTATGTTTAGGTTACAGACAATGTATGGACTGAATCTACTTTTACACTTTAGATGATATCTGTGTTCAGACTAAGATCAATACTAAGAACAATGAAGGTAGTGATACCAGATGAACACTGTAGTGATAAACTTAACAACTCATCTCCAAAAATTTCTGCTTTCCAGGTCCCTGGCATTTAATTCCATACACACAGGTAGAATTCTCAAAGGGGCCAGAAGACCCGAGGGTTGCTCTTCCCATTCTACATTCCTACACAGGCCTTTGGCATCCCTCTCCTTCAGGTTCATTCCACTGACATTCATTCCTATTTAAAAAATGTGGCTGACCATTTTTTATGCTACATCTGCCAAGAGATCCAAGCTACAATGTGTACAGTAGAGCTGAAAAAACCATGGGACAGGGCAACAAAAATGACCAAAGGTCATGAACAGAATCTCCACAAGTGGAAACTAAAGAGGCTAGGTCACCTTAGCCTAGAAAGGATACATCTTAAAAGGAGGTGGGAAAGCTCTTTCAGATTATGAGCAGCAAGAGGATAATAAAGAGATTACAAACACTTGTAATCTCTTCCTATGAAAGTGCTTAGCAGTGTCAAAAACACCCACGAGATGGCTATCCAAACCAAAAATCCTATCCTCTGACTGAGAAACTTCTTGTCCCAGTCATGCTGTGTCCTTAAGAATCTCTGCTACTGATTTCCCTCATTACTTCTCTACTATCCCTAGGATACTTCCCTATGTATTCTCTACTGCCACTGTCAAGCAGAAGGTGCTTCAAATAGAAAACAGACTAGACAAAGGTTACCTGTGACTTCATTTGCCTGTTCTTTTCATTATCTCAGGGTTAACACATACAAAACCACAGACTTCTTGTGTGGTCTTACTTAAATGAAAGTTTTTTGGGTTTTGGGGTTTTTTGGGTTTTTTTTAATTTAAATTTCCAACTCCTGCTTATAATGAGGCAGCTCCACCACCATCAGCCATAATGAAGACCCTGAATGTGTCCTGGCATAGTTACTACAACTTTCAAAGCTATGGTGCACAAAACAAATGTGATACATGTTCTTGTACCCTTTGGAAGAGAAGCACCTCATCAAGGAGGTGTTCAGATTGTCATCTTTCCTGCTAGCAGGGTTGGATTCAACCATTATTCCCCCTGCTATCACAACTTCTCATACAGCCTTTGCCATCAGTTTTTGTGAAAATGCATTAATTGCCTTGAAGCAAGAAATTTCTCCAAGATGTGGCCTTTACCTTGCTGCTTCACTCCCCTGCACGTGTCCAGAATGACCCTTCTGGGCACCCCGTTCCCCCAGCCCCCAGAGGTGTGTCCTGTACCTGTACATGAAGGGTGCGACGGTGGCGGTGTTGGGGTGGCTGTATTGCTGCTGAGGATGAGGTAGCTGCACACTCACGGTGTTGCTGCCTGTGGTGTGGGTTGTCACTGCAGGCCCGTTCACGGCCTGGCTGCTGCTACTGCTGTGGGGGCCCCCAACGCCCTTCCCCTCAGAGGAAGCCAGGCTGGAGGAGGAGCTGGAATGATGGCTGTCCAGCTGGGACTTCTGATGTGAGAGCCCTGAGCCGGCTTTCCCGCCACGGCTCCTCTCGCCTTCCTTTGCAGGAACAGGGGCACTTGAGGATTTCCCTGTGGTGTTTTTTGTCCCTGGTTTTGGTATTCCACTGTGCAAAGGGGCAGAGGCCTCCTTCTTGGCACTGTTCAGCTTCCCTCCTTTAGGGATCAAGCTTGTGATCTTGGACGACTTTTTTGGCATCTCTGTTGTTGTTGTTACTGCTGTCTGTTCTTTAGGTTCCTCCTTCAGGTCCAGCTTCTCAGTGATGGATGTTCTATTTGTTATGTCTTTACTTTTATCCTTTTCTTTCTCTTTTTGTTTCTCTTTTTCCTTCTCATTACCCTTTGGAGAACTTTTCTTATTAGTCAGTGCACGGCTGAAAGTCCTTTGTGCAATTCCCTTGAGTGCAATTTTGGGGCTGCTGGACATCGATCCCAGGTTGTTGACATTCTGATTGGTGGCATCAATTTCTTCGCTCTCCTCAAAGGTGAGAAGCGTCTCCAGCTTTTCACAGCTGTTGTCCCGAGAGCCCGGACACTCCAGTGTTGTCCCTGCTGCTTTGGAGCCCCCTTTGCTGTTGAAGAGTTTTAGTTTCTCCAGCATGGATTTCTGACCGTTGGGAGCTGTTTTGGTGATTTCTGAGGGTGGCTTTGGAGGCTCCAGTGCTGGTTGCTTCACGGATAACATGGAAGACGTCGCTGTGTGCTTGGCACTGAGGGACTTGCTGCGCCAAGGTTTAATAGCAGAGCTGGGCTGAGGGATGGCTGAGGAGTTATTGCAAGGAACAGCAGTACCGCAGCTTTGAACAGAGGGTGAGACATTTTCATTCATTCCTGTGGGCTGGAAAGCCGTGCTGTCTGCAGGCTCTGGAAAAAATCACAGAAACAACCCAAAAAACAACACAGTAGTACCCGGTATTAGAGTTACTATGAGATTGTTTATGTAATGAAACATCAAGAATTTCACACTGAAAATATTAAAAAGACACATCAGTATTTTCAACATCAGTGAAATTCCAATGAAATAAAAGCCAGTTTTTTTTCTACCCAGCAGAACAGCAACAAGCTCCTACTGTATAATTTACATTTACTTGCTGTTTCAAGAAAAAGAAGGAAGAAAAAGAATCTCTTCCAGTTCAAACCAAAATGTGTGCTGCAATGTGCTCTCCCTTATTAAGTCCACAATACTTTTTCATTAGCAAAAACACAGCCCTATTTTGTAACTAAGGGTTCCCTCTGCTTTTGGCAAAATACTTGCTGTCCAAGTTTGATTCTTAGAAAAACCTCAAACACAAAAAAATGCAGGAGTAAGGAAAAAAGTAAAACTAAAGTCCTTTCAGTTATTGTGGGTGGGGGTGGTAATATCTTCATAATGCAAAGGTAGAAGAAAACTCCAGATACAAAAATAAAAGTAATTGTGCCCTTTTGTAAAGAACCTAAATTAAGTATTATCACATATCCTAATACAGTTGTAAGACAAACTTTTGACAGTACCTTTACAGCCCTCCCCCACAGAGAAAACAAATCTTTTATTTAGTTAGTTCCTCCTAATGTTATTTGTTCTTATTAAGAAATTAGTTCCGAGCCTAAAGAGAGCTTGAAAAATCACACTCACCTACCAGTGGCCACTTCTCCTCTGAATCAGTTTCTCTTTGCAGAATTTCCCTTTTGGAGATGTTACTCTCTCAATTATCACAAATATGGTTTCTGTTAAACGGCTCATGTTTCCAATTAAATTTTGTCATCTGTGTCTGTTCGCCTGCCCAGCAGCCTGCTGGGGATTAACGGCTCTTACCTATATTTCCCTGCCATCTAGCACGAAAGTAAACTGTGTACAGAGCTGCATTTTTTTAATTCAAAAATCAACAGCAGTTGAGAGCGTGCGTTCTCGGCAGCAGGGGCAGCCCTGTGAATCCAGCCCTGTAAATCACGAGCTGCTGCAGCCACACAAGGACTGTTTTACTTCACTTTCAGTTGCTCAGTGAAGATACAGCTCTGTTAACCTCCCTCCTCTGATCCAAACCAGATCTACTGAAGATTTAAGTCACATACATCTTCCTGACTTAGCACAGAATCATGTTTCTAAGAGTATTATAATAACCTCAACCATTTCACATGGTTATGGACAAAGTGGAATAGCAGTAACTAATGATACTAATGATACTTTAAAAAATATTCAGAAGTCAGAAGGTTTCCAGGACTCTTAGCCAGTAACTATTATACTGGCTCATTTTTCTTGTCCTTTTCCTATGGCAAAGCACCCACATGGAGCTGGAAGACAGACACAGACAGGAATCACGCTGCTTTTAAGCTTGTGCCAGCCTGCTGACTTCCAGGGCATTACTCCTATTTTACGCTAGTACAGAAGGAAAATCAAACCATCAAATATCCCAAACAGTGATGCCATCTGGCCTCTCGCTGCTCTGCTCAAGCCTGCTGAATTCAACCCAATGTGTTAAGGAGGACCAGAAAGATAATGGCATAGGAATCGGAGAATCACTAAGGTTGAAAAAGACAACCAAGACCAAGTCCAACCATTAACACCAGACTGCCAAACCCACCACTTAACCACACCCCTAAGCACCACACCTGCAGGTTTCTTTGAGCACTTCCAGGGATTCCACCACTGTGGGAGGAGTCCTAGTGACTCCCAGTGCAAACAGCAGCAGTGACCTGACACAGTGCCCTGGCACAGACACAGAGGAAGGAAGGTGGCAACCTCTTCACAAGCTGCCAGCAATGTTCCTCACTCTGCTTTCAAAAGTTGAACCACTGCTCTTTCCTTCATGTCTCTTACTGTACACTGCTGCTTTGTTTTTGTTTTCATTTCCTGAAGTCCTCCTGCTCATCACAGTCCACATCCCCACACCACACCAGGCTCCTTTTGCACACTCAGAACAAGCAAGACTTTTTCTCAGCCTTCCACGGAAGATGTGCAGCAATGGAGTGAAAGCTTCATAAAAATCCCAGTTGTGCATACTGTACAGCTAATTTGTATAGATTATTTTTAAAAATAGTAATAGCCCATCTCATTATTGAGATATTGCTATAGGAACTGGAGATTGACAGTACTTTCAACACTAAGTTCCTAACTGACATGTCTTCTGGCCTCATCATGCTAAACAAATCTCAGCACAAAGAACAGCCATGCCCAGAAATCATCAGAGCTGCCTGGGATTCATAAAGATGGCTAGGATGCATTTACACCAGGTCCAGGGAGGGACCCAATGTACTGATCAATATGGGCAGGAAAGCCTTCACTTGCTCAGAAAAACAGGACTGGGGCAACAGAAGGGTGACAAAATGAAAATAACCAATAAGGGATGTTACCTATATAAAGTAGAAGAGCTGGTTGTACACCTTGCTAGTACAACATATGCAGGCGCAAAAACTCAGCTCAGGGTCTGAGCACACGGACAACTGAGGTGATTTCCTAGAAAAGAAATCTGCCTTCTCAAACATGTGCTTCACAACAGTTTGAGAACAATACAGGTCCCATGTGTACGGGATGAATAAAGCCAGCCTGCATTCCCCAGCACTCAGAGCCTACACAAAGTCACTCACCTGAAACAAGAGGGACCTGAGAGCCAGGTCCATAACCTGGCTGAGAAATCTGACCCTGTCTCAGACACTGAGCTGGCTGTTAGGTCACTGCACAGCAGCACAGGCCACCACATCAAAACACGGCTCTGACCAACTCCACAATGTTCTTCTGGAAGTGAATGGAAAGGGTTAGTTGATTTGGGACTTCAGCTACATCCTAACAGCACAGATGAGTGCTCCAGTTCACAGACCTCTGGGAAAAAATGCTTGGCTTGGATAAAGTGAAATGGCTTGTTTTCCAAATCCCAAAGCATTGCTCAAAATTTATTTCTTAGCAAAATCCAGAACTTTTTTATTTCTCCTTTGTTTTTTTTTTAACATTTTCAGGAAATTTATTTATTTGTTTACTTATGTTTGGTCACAAACTAAAATATATTTTCCCCCAGTTTATTTGTTTATAAACACAACACTCTCTTTGTCTCAACGCCTCCACATACACCCTCCTGTCTGTTAGTGCATTTTGCTTCCACTGCCAGTGGCGTAGGAAGAGCACAGTGCAGCTCTGTTTACAGACATGTCAGAGAAACCAGAATTAGGACAATACTATGACTGTAACAATAAAAAAAATATAATATATTGCAACAGTAATTTTCTGAGTGTCTACTTAACATTTTCTACAAAGTGCATTCTATGAATACTGGATGATATGCACTTGTAATGAATGAAAAATATTCACAAAGTCTACAGTTAAGCTGGAACACTTTGGAAAAGGAAATAAGGTACTTTCTGACATAGCTATGGTGGATTTTGATTTGTACTTGGGTCAAATACAGTGAAACTGGAAATTGAACATACTCAAGTGATTTATTGCATTGCACCATGCACAGTTACTGCAAGAAATAAAAGGTTCACCCTAAAACACTCTCATGAAAAATTGCCCCAGCTTACGAAAACGTCAGATTCTCCATTTTTTCCTTACAAACAAGTGCTGGCTCTTTTAATCCTCTGGCCAAGTTTGTTAAGTGTTGCTGTTGGACACGAAATAAGAAGCCTGGATTCAATGCAGCAGCAGAAAGAGGATCATCAGAAGGAATTGCAGCCCTTTTAATAAGGTGTTCCAATACAGGTTTAACATGATTGGTAAAGGGAACAACACCTCTCTAGTCCCATTGGTGGAACAAGGGAAAACACACTCAACACAGCTGTACAATATTGTTTTGAGAACCTTGAACTATTTACAAAAATATTCCTTGAGAGAAAAACTTTCTCAAGAAACTTTCTCTTGGGAAAAGAATTTTTCACTGACAGGATGAAAACTCTCTCAGACTCAGAAAATCAGGTCCACAGGTAAGCAAAAGGAGTTCTACTGCCAGCATGCAGTTTCAAATGCTGGGTTTCCTAATGAAGCAGCAACATCAATTTGTGGAGAACACATCAGTATGCAAAGGGGAAAGTTTTATTCAACATAGCATAGGCCCTTTTTTCATGAAAAGGGGAGCAGGTTTCATGCATTCAATTAATAAGCTTATTATTTCCCATGTGTTCCTCTGTGAGGGAGGTTATTTTCTTTCTTCAGCAACCTGCATTAACTAAAACTGACTATAAAAGAAATGTTTTCAAATCCAAGCCAGTCTACAATAAATAATGATCACTTTCCTCTTTTCAAAGTCAAATCTTGGCATGAAATCTATTTTGTTCCTAATGTTCCTGTTAAAAAAGATGTTGGTGGTCCAGTTACAATGCCAATACACACTGTAGCATGGGTAAATCTGATTTCAGCTGCTCCTGCAAAGACTGAACTGCATCTGCAAACCCACTCATTTTTTAAGAAGAAAAAAAAGAATCTGAAGGCTTATGATTTAATTCTTCCACAGAAGTCTTTGAGAGCTTATAATTAGGTCAGGAAAAAAAAAAATGCAATTTCCCATCATTTGTCATGTTCACTCTAATTAAGTTTCGATTTGCTAAAAGTGAAAACTTTCAAAATCCATCATTATAAGCATGAAAAGCAACACACAGATAAAGGATATTCTCATAGTTACTCTCCTTAGGAGGGTCAAGAACTTAACAGCATTTTTACCCATTTTTGAATGAACAAACTTTTATTTTTATTTCACAGCTATGGGAAAAGTAAGTTCTTATGTAGAGAAATATATTTTAGTCCACTCTATAGATTAGATAACAGATTTAAAAGCCAATCCACAATGAGATTCTAATGTAGGAAATAAAAGCAGCTCTGCTCTATAACATTAGAGTGACAGAACTGCAGAAACTGCTGTGGCAGCTTCATTTCCCATCTAGAATAATAAATGGTGAATCTTGAC